TGGAAGCTTTAAATCGGCTCATTAATTTACATGAAAACCTCAAAAGCCGAATAAATAAAAACTATAAACAATTGTTGTTATTATTATTTAATTTTACAAATAATTTCTTAACAAGTACCCGTGCAATACACGGGTATTGTACTAGTGTAACAAATAATGAAAGATTTTGTGATCTTAATGCCCAATAAGGTCTATGATTCTTGAGATTTCTGTTCCAATTATGAGTTTCTGCTTTTAATTACTGTTTATTGAAATATGAAATATTTGGTAGTTTAATGTTTTATACTTTAACTGGGGCATGAGAGGAAATTTATTACTATATAATACTCTTAAAAAAAAATACATAAAAATAACTCATTTTCCCGCTTTTTTGTTTTATTATTACCTTCTTGGAAAAACAAAATTGAATTGTTTTCATAACTCCCACCCATGTTTTTAATTTCTTTAGGCTTAATTTTGAGTGACAAATTTATATTCCGCTAAATTTTAGGAATAAGTGTATTTTTTATCCATAATTAGCTAACCTATATTCCTAACAATACACGAAAAATTATGGACAATTAAAAGAAACTTGTGATATTTTATCTAATCTATGAATAAGTCCACCAATCAAAATCATATATGATCAATCCAAAACAATTATCGCCGAACAATTTGGGCTCCATCCTCCACATGAGGAGATCGGCACGTCGGAGCTCCGCCGGGTTTTCTCCATGCGCGACCGGAGTGGGGACGACAAGATCAGATAAGAGGAGCTCGGCGAGTCGCTCGAGAATCTCGGGATCCATGTGCCGGGGAAGGAGTCATGGCTCGATAACGCTGCATGATTACGAGGAAGTGAAACAGTGAAAAATCGCGTTCACGCTCGATGGATTAGAAAGGATAGTGTTTCGGTTAGCAAACGATGAGAACACCACAAATCCTAATGGATGACAAGCTTGAGGCAAGAAAAATGAAATTGAATTTCTTGGTTTTATTCTTTTTTGGATTTTCTTTTTTCAGGTTAATTTATTAATAAACTTTCAGTTTTGGGATTTATTGGTCTTAATTGTTATTGGCATC